TTGTTTTGCTGATTGATGTTCTTGTATGTACAGTGTCTTTGAGTATTTAGAAAAGCGCTTTTAAATAAAATGTATTATTATTATTATTATTATTATTACCCCCTCATGAGCCATTTAATGTACTGTTCATTAGATTGAATGAATTTATTTTATACTGGTTCCTGGTTCTGGTATGGAAATATTTGCGGATTTTCATTGTCTTCAATGTGGTCTAATATTTTGGGTTTTGGATGGTTGTTTTCATTATTTATGAAATATAAAAAGTTCCAAATGTTTTCATTTGAATTGATTTTAAGCTGCATGTTATTTAACATATTAGTCATATTAAAGTGGATATCATTACAATAATGTTTCTATAGGACTGATATTATTTATTTTTAAATAATTTGTTGTAGTTTTGTTTCAATTTAAACTACCCCATCATATACAATGAAAATAAAAACATAATTCTATTTTTTCAAAATTTTGTTTCATTTGGTGAAAATAATGGTAAAGGTCAAAGGTGCCTGTAAATGCGTGCAAACAGCTGGTAAGTACAGAATAGATTTTACGGCCTTCAATTGTTCTTTGGCTGCGAACAAAAATACACAATGATGACATAAAATGTACAGAAACTGCTGTTTGCATTTTTAATGAAATATGATATTGTATAAGTATTGGATATGAAATATTTCACTTTCTTGTAGTACTTGGGCGCTGAAGTAGCCCTTTATGAGATGCCAATACCACCCCTGGCCCCAAGCCAATTTGAGTTTGAGAGCCCTGATCTAAGGAATATCTATTAATTGTTCAGTCTATACGAAAATAAAATGAATGCAAAGTGTCCAATTAATAGCAAATTAAACAGAGAAGCGAGCCCTCAAATCTACCGAGCTGAAGCCATCTAATGCTTGGCATGACTAATAGATAAAACCATAAAAGGATTTAGCAAGTATTAAACCCGGCAGAGTAAGAATTTATAGACCTATTTGCATTAATGTTGCATCAAACATACAAAAATGATCAGAGATCGCAACATCATTAATAAATGTTAGCAAAATGTCTATTTATAAAGGTCTCCTGGTCCAGAATATACTACTGATACTACTAACAGTACTTGTAAAACAGGTGTACATGTGTGGAATCTGGGTAAAATGTCACATCAGAATTAATTTGGGTAAAAGGGTTCCCAGAGATAATGTAGGCTGAATGATATCATGGATGGACAACAGCAAATACCTGATTCTTGATAAAAAGCCAGTATTGTTCCCACAAGTTGGTCTGTATTTGTGTCAGAGTGAACACGTGTGTGTGTAGGCTGTTAGTAAACACGCTTCTCACCTCTGTCTGGAGACATGGCCATTCTCTTGCTGAGGGGGGAACCTGGCCTGTCTTTGTCTGAAGGAAGGTACCTCTTCCTGTTGCCCTTATCTCCTTGTTGCTAGAAAGAAACAGTCAAACTCATTTACTCCACATCCAAGTGCAAAATTAAATAAATAAATTAACAAATGAATGAATGTCCGTCCATTGCTCCATTCGAGAGAAATTGTTAAGTGATGGAAAGCCCTACCTCATACAAGTATGAGAAATACTAGGAGCATTTGAAGAAGTGCGTAATTTTGTGAAATACGAAAATTTGCTTTATACCCAAAAGAGAGTTGAGAAGATCGATATCACTCTCAATACTTTACACTAATTATAGTACACTAGAGACCTGAGTCAACTAGCTTAGCATAGCATAAAGACCGCTATCCTAGCTCTGACCAAAGGTAATAAAAGCCACCTTATGGCACCTTGAAAGCTTGCAAATTAACTGTTTGTTCTATCCATAAAAAGTGAAAAAGAAAAAGGTTTCGATTTAACTTCCTGCAGAGGACTAACTCTTGGCAAGATGGCAAATAACTGTATTTTCCAAAATGTTGAACTATTCCTTTAAGATTCAATTCTAGAATAGACCCTTTAAAGAAGAGAAAGAGGAGCAATAGTCACCTTGTTGAGCAGGGTGAGTTTAATGTCTTTGTGGGAACCTGAACCTCCATAGCTTCCTGGGGGGCCCATGGTCCCGGGTGGGGGATGTACAGGGTGGCCACCCCTGCTACCAGGACCTAATCTGGGCATGGGGTTGCCTCCTCTAGCCGGGGCACCAGATAGGTCAATCTTCCTGCGGTCCTCTCTGAAGGGTTCATCTTTCTTTGATGGTCTCTCTGTGGACAGGTAACATGGCAACTGATGAACCCGGTCATGCTAATCTTAAATTCTATATTTCCGATTTAGAGAAAAATCCATAAAAATCGTATAAATGTTTTACCTACTATACATTTGAAATAAGTAAAAATGTGGAAGGACACACAGAACTTTGCTGTTAAGCTATTATTAATGAAACTCACACTTCCTACACCAATGTTTTATATTAAAATCTTTCCAGTAGGCATAATTCGTAACTTTCACGGTAGACTTTTACTTTATATCCACCATGAGAGCTAATGGGGTACAGGTAATTCCCTTGGCCTTAGAATGTCTTTACCCAGCCTTTATTCGTTTGTGGTGGTCATAGTGATCATTATTTGAATACCAGAATTTATGATTTCTATGCGGTGCTGTTGTTTATCAGCCAGCCTGCTGCATTGGGACTTTGTTGCTCACACTAACCCCTGTTCTTGTCTCTGCCATGTGGAGGCCGGTCCCGCACAGGCCCTCTCTCCTTACGGGGGTGGTTTGGTGTGGGTGAACGGGAGCTGGCGGAGGAGACTGGGCTGGCCAGGTCAGCGTACATATCGTCTGAGTCTGCGCTGCGTACCGAGCTGCTGCTGGATGACGCTGATGACACTGATGACACGCTGCTCACGCTCAGCGATCTGTGGCAGGAAACAGGTCGACCGTTAGCTGGGGCATTGCAGACTGAGCGTTGTTATCGCAGTTTTGTGTACACAACAACAACATGGCAACAGGTCTTATGTATATATACACACCCTGAATAATAGCTATCATACCTGGATTTCCTGGACCATTTCCCAGAGACAGCACATGAAAGCAAGAGAGAATAACACAGAATTAATCCATATTAGGCTGCGTTATCAGCCTGGAGGACGCATTATATATGCACATTTAAAATACCTTTATATTTTAATATTTAGCTTACAGATTGAGGATGAATGCAACAGATAACTAAGATATAATTCTCATAGTAAGGGTTTAAAGACCTTTCTGAACCCAGATGGAATTGTGAGTCCAATTTGGCAGTTTCAAAAAGTGTAAATGACGACAACTCTTCAGATTATCATCAGCGTCATGTATATGTTGACTTAATTTAAATGACATAATGTGCCATTCTGCTTCATGTTCAATATTCTTTAAAGTGTGGCAGTAATGTAAAGCTTTATTTCATAAATAAGTGCCTCCCCAAACACAATATATGGTGTGCAACATTTCTTTAAAAGGTTGCCAAAGCTTTTGGAAAACGGCAGTTCTGATGACACTGAAGGTGTTCGCATGGGCGAGTACCTGGATTTTCTGGATCCAGAGCGTGAGCGTGACAGAGAGTTAGAGGAGGATCTGGATCTGGATCTAGAGCTAGAACCAGTATAACTGCTACCACTTCCACTAATACTCCCACTCACAGTTCGCCTGAAAGAGACAGACAAAGGACTGAGAACACAGCAGGTAGTTTTTTCTATAAAGCGTACTACCCAGCTCCTTGTTCAGTTATTATCACACAGAGCAGACATAAAGGCTGTATGTGTATATTCCCTACTGTAATCTGTTACATTAACAGAAGATTACTACAGACACTCCACTCACCGTTTGGCTTATTGTAAAGCGAGTTTCGGGGGCCACTGGAGAGGCCATATTTACAGCAGACATTTTGACTTGTCATAATAAGAAAGGCACAGGTGTTAATATCATAAACAAAGACTATTCAGGTGTTCCAGTAAGTTATGAAAGCAAGCCAGCATGTACAATATGAAGACTACGAAGCAGATAAATAGAATTTATTTTTTATAATGTGGTTTTCTTGGTCAAATTTCAAAATGTCCTCTGTACAGGGTCCAATATTAACTTTTTTGCTAATCTGGAAATGGCATATAAACTGATAAACTTTTTAGCAGCCATAAAAAACTGCATTATTTTTATTTGAATACAAACAATTACTATTACTATTAATTTAGTCAGGACCTTGAGGCTCCAGGTTCATTCAAACACAACCTATTGCAAAAATGCCTACCTCTGTGACTATTTTTCTTCATCTTCAAGTTTTCTTTTTGAGTGGCTTAACACTGGGAATATGTTATCACATCTCTAATAACAGGTAATTCAGACTGCAAAAACATATTGTGTAGAAAGCTGCAACTAGTAGTAATTCGGTGGACAGTAAGGGTCACATTAGTCTCAGCTGGTACACATAAAAACACACTAATGTCAACCTGGCCTTGTTCTGTACTAAGTATTTACTGTCCACCTGGTCAAAAACACTGAAAACAAAAACAAAAGTAAATCCCATTCTCAGTGTGTACCTCCCGTACCACCTACAAACTAGAGTTGTTCCGATTCCGATACCAGTATCGGAAATTGCTCTGATACTGCC